CAATTGAGCATCTCTGGAGAGACCTGAAAATGGCTGTCCACCAACGTTTACCATCCAACCTGACAGAACTGGAGAGGATCTGCAAGGAGGAATGCCAGAGGATCCCCAAATGCAGGTGTGAAAAACTTGTTGCATCATTCCCAAAAAGACTCATGGCTGGATTAGCTCAAAAGGGGGCTTCTACTAAATACTGAGCAAAGGGTCTGAATACTTATGACCATGTGATGTTTCAGTTTTTCTTTTTTAATAAATCTGCAAAAATGTCAAAAATTCAGTGTTTTTCTCTCAATATGGGGTGCTGTGTGTACATTGAGGAAAAAAATGAACTTAAATGATTTTAGCATATGGCTGCAATATAACAAAGAGTGAAAAATTTAAGGGGGTCTGAATACTTTCTGTACCCACTGTACTATATAAAACTTCTTTTAGGGGGAGGTGACAGTGCCATGAGTAGAGCAGCTGTCTCCCAACTGGAAGGTTGAAGGTTCAAATCTCGGTGCCTGCAGTCCACATGTCGAAGTGTCCTTGGGCAAGACACTGAACCCGTTTCCCCCAATAGTTAGCACCATCAGTTGAGTTGGCACTGCAGATGGCTGCCTCAGTTCTGTACTGGAAACACATTCCTTGTGTGTAACATACTTGGCCAATAAAGGTGATTATCCTTATTATGCAATTTACTAAGATCTCTTAAGATGAAAACATACAAATAACACCATTCTTAAAAAAGACATTCATTTTATGTTTCAATGATGGTGGTGGATACCAAAGACAAACTTTGCTGGAAAAATCTTTTAACTCATTTTATTCAGGTTGTATTCTGTAATTTATCACCCACTTGGATTTTATACACACAGGGACAACAGAATACAAATCACCATATAAGTGTGAACAAATTACGTTATGTAAAAAAAAAAAAAATTCCTCATCATCCTGGCTACAGCTGATCCAATGCATGAACAGTTCCTTCAGGGTGAGATGGGATTTGTGTTGCTCTTTGCTTTACAGCTCCATCCTCGCCTTCATCCCCGTCTTTTTCTGGGACTGATCTCCAGCTATCTCTCCCTCCCCCACTCTCTCACAGAACAGGTCTAGGCTGCTGGGTTAGCAGGATGCTGAAGCGTTTCTTCACCATCACTCGGTGTCGGGAGAACTTGTCATCTGGAGAGAAACGAGCTGGGTGGGCCGAACTTGTGGGCTGCCCACTGGGACTCACCTTCTGTTGGTGGCAAAGAGGGACAGCGAAAAAATAAAGTTAATTCCAGAAGTACATTTTGTACACATTATCTTGAACACATCACTTTTTTTTTAAATGATCTACCTCAGTGGTCCCTAACCTTTCTGTCTTATGAGGTAATAAAATAAGTCAAATCTACCTGCACTGCCTCATCACAGGTTGCATGAGTTTGAACAGTTAATCATCTAACCCCTGTTCAGATTTTTCTTGTGACCCACTGAACCCCAAAATTGCCCGTGCAAGCAGTTACCTTGAGTCCTGAAAATTAGACTTTGAATGTTGCAGATGAAAAATAAGTTAAACGAAAAGAGGATTTAAAAAAAAAAAAAAGAACACAGTTGCATGTTTTCTCGATATCATTACAACGGAGAACGTTGGGTTTGTTGCTTATAAGTCATAAGGGCAAATTTGTTTCAGTGAAATTAATGACGTACATCAATGTTGCCATAAAGCAACGAGTTTTATTTATTCAAATAATCCTCTATATCGATAAGCTAAACTGATGCTACTTTAATGGAGAAGGAATATAACATTATGTAATGTGTTAAGGATGTAAACATAAGTTAGCCTACCTTCAGAGTGTAGACCCTGTCGCCGTTCTCGTTTACATAATACTGCAGAAACATCACGACGAAACGTGTATCGTTGATCCAAAACGCAAGTAATAGCACAATTCGATTTACATACAAAAAACCCAGCTTTTGTAGGACTTTTCCTTTATAATTCCACGTGTAGCGAAGCCTCACCTCGGCTGGATAGCAGAACGGATATCCGGTTAAAATTTCAGAGCGCTTGGGATGCTGGGAAAATGAGTTTCTAAGGTTACCTGACCACGGCACAACCTTCGTGTGCGCGACTTCAGCAAATACAGTCTGATCAGTTCTCATGGAGGTGGTCACTTGTATGAAGCTTTGTACACAGGTTACGACATCAAAATATATACTATAAAATATTTTGAAATGCAATATTTTTATTTCATCTACTTTAAATCTGTTAAATAAAATTATTAACAAGCCCACTGACAACTTTCATATTTCCACCAATATATTTTGTAGCATTTCATAGAAAATATTTTACAACACAGTTTCAGCCTAATTCTAGTATATGGTCCTTACAAAATTGCTTACTGAGTGAATATTTTAAAACATATATAAAATTGTTTAATTTATGTGATTTTATGAAGTTTGGAATGTTTATGTGCACAGACCTTTTGGTCATAAGTAAACAAAATATACCTGAATGAAGTTTATATTTAAAAAAAAATACAGCAGATAAAAACTGATTTTATTGATTGAAGATAAACAACCATCTCCTACAAGAAAGGTAAGCCTGATGAAAACTATCTGATCAATGTACAATGCAATTTAGCTGTTATTTACATTAATTATTCATTTATATTTATGTAATAGCCGATGAAACTCAGGGCAGGGCCAGATTTGGCCCACAGGCCGCTATTTACCTAATACAGCTGTGTAACATGTAAAGGGGGAGACGCCATAAGTTTATTGTGTTTTAATCACTTATGCAGATAATATTCTCAGTAAATGCTCAAAAGTATGTTGCAGATAATTTTGTTTGATTTGTTTTCCAGCTTTCTGTCACTCTCAACTTATCCTTCTCCTTACTGTACTTACTTCTTGGGCTTTGTTCAATTTTCTTTTCTTTGTCTTACTGTGACGTCAGCTTAAGGAGCTATAATGTAAACTTGTCAGTGGTGTAATTAATATTTGACAATTTTAATAAGTGTCTGTGATTATAGCCTGCAGTACCTGGTAAGACTATATTATGGTAAATGACAAACTCTTACTTAAAACTACACCAATCAGCCACAACTTTATGACCACCTGTCTAATACTGTGTACACAGGAGTCAGTGCAACAGTTGGTTGGCATTCGTGTCACTCTGCAGCTCATAGCACAACCTCTGTGAATTTGTTTGCTTACATAGTCTGAAGGAGCATGAATATTGTCTATCACATAGCAATTAAAGAGAGGGAAACTGTGGTGATGAGGACACAAACACCCAACAAGACCTGCAGTCTGGGAGATGCTCTGGCCCAGCTATCAACCATAACACTTTGGCCATTGTCACTCAGATCCCTTACACATGCCCATTTTCACTGCTTCCAACACATCAACTTCAAGGAGTGATTGTTCACTTGCTACCTAATATACCCCACACCCTGGCAGGTGCCACAGTAACAAATCAGTGTTATTCTCTGTACCTGTCAGTGGTCATAATGTTATCGCCAATTGTGTTGAGAGTCAAAGACAAGCTTGTCCACAGTATATTCAACTCTATTTAGTAACAGGGCCAGTTACTTATTGCAGCCTGTCAGGCTGATGAATCTTCAGTTATAGACTCAGTGGCCGGTTTATTAGGTACATACAGTACATAAGCCCAGCCATAAGATTTAACACCACTCCAAACTTCAACTTAAATTAACACCTCTCTGTCAATCTTGAACATTATTCATTTTACAAATGGCTGTTAGATCTTACAAGTGGACATAACTTTTTTGGGGGGTCTGTTTTCTTTAGTGTGCTCTCAGGCAGATAAAAGAAAACCTTGAAAATGCAGAGAAACTGCTTGTGTTTGTATTGTAGTATCACTGCTGCTATACTGGTCAAATTGCTGTTGATCATCTTTATATTCCTGTTTCCCCCCCCCGACAGTTTCAAGTGACAGATGTGCAGAGATAGAGGATGGATCCAGCACCAGCCTGCCCACCTGAAATCCGCCTAAGTGACAGAGAAGAGCCTTACCACTCTCAGTCAGGGCCACAACCCTTCTCTCATTTCTCCCTTCATCATCACCAACCATTTTCTCCACAAACCAACACATGGTCTGATAGCAGAGCTGAGCAATGTTGTCCACATGAGCTTCATCATGTAAGGATCAATGACTCAGCATTAGAAAGAGCATACACAGCTGAAATGCTCCTTAGGAAAATTGTTTCTGATCACTGTTGGGCACAAAGGGAGTCACACCCAAACCAGCAGTATCTCCACCCAGGTCCCATCCAAACCGAGATACAAGCTCAGGAGAGCCCCTATGGCTTAAATTTCCAGCCAGTCTTTTGCCACCCATCACTCCACCTTCTATCACCAGATGCCAGGGGCTGGCAAAAAATGAAACCACCATTACCAAAGCACGTACTGACTCCATGTTCATCGCAAGACTGCCGCTGGCTTGATATGAGCCCCTGCTCCTCCAAGCCTACATCCAGGTTTGATTTGTGTCCCCATGTGGCGACTCCATCCAGCCCATATTTACCTTCCCATTCTTCACTCCAGCTGCCTGATCTTTGTCGATGCTGGTGTATGTGTGCACATACCACACCAGTCCATCAGCCCTGTGGTCCAAGTCTGTAAGGAGTGCATATCAGACAACACAACATTATGAAGAACTCATTCTACTATAATTAAATCCTGACCATACTACTGTGTGTAATCCTACCTATCTCATAACAGGTTGTCAAGGAATGCAGATGCAGAAATGAAAGCTAGAAGGAAGTTAAACCTAATGCCAGAGTCTACAGCAGCAGGGAAGCCAAACAGCAAAAAGGCCAAGTCAGAAGGTCAGACGTTAGGGGCATAAATAAAAGGGCAAGGAGGTGACGAGAGGTCCTTTTTAGCCATGCTAGCTGGTAGTCAGTCTCAATTGTTCCTGACTGAAATAACACTTTTTACAAACACTCACGATCCCCCAAAATGAATTGCTAGAACATTGCCCCTTGACATTTCCTCTCGTGCTACTACTGTACATTTCTGAGATAATGAAGTACTTTTACTCAAGTACTTTTTATACAAATTTGACATACTTGTACTTGAATATTTTCTCTTCCTGCTTTCACTTTATATATCTACATTTCAGAAAATACCATCCTTTCTAATTCAATACAGGGGATATGCTACTGCAGAAGTAGTACTTAGATTTTTTTATTTTAAGTGCATTTGACTCAGAATACTTCTTTACTTTTAATTAATCAATATTTTACCTATAATAGAGTATTTTACATTGTTCTGTTAGTACTTTTATAACTAAAGGATGTGAATACAAGTAGAACAGTGGGACACTGGGGAAAAGGCACTGTTAATAGTAAAGAAAATAGTTAAAAAATAAATGGTTTCCCCCCTTTTCTACCATGTTTCCTTACAGGAAATAAGCAGAACAACACTACACACAACAAGAACGAACTACGAGAAAACGCAACCAGTGATCACGCAACCAACTTAGCTGGACCTCTGCCCTGTTTGGATGAAGAGCTGCCGACCAAATGTGCCTCTGAGAAATATATAGTGATTACAGACTCCCTCAAGGTTCCCCACTTTTTGTTACAACATTAAATCTAGAAGAAAAAAAACCTGCTAAATAGAAAAAATTATCAAATTTGGAAACACGCAGGAGTTTCAAAAATGATTTATTATATTTAGTAAAACTTCCTATTACAATGAATAAAGTTTGTTCTGTAAAACTAACGCACCATAATCACTTAAAGCTCCTGTTGTTTCTGACTCTGCTCAGATCCAAGACCCCAGTGGAGAAAAGGCAAACCCAGAGAGGGAACATGGATCATTTCTGGAGTATCAGGATGAGCTCTGCAGTGATGAGGACTTTGTCAGAAAGGTAAGTTATGAGTTAATACAGTGTGGACAGTCAATACAACGCTGTTGCTAAGAATTAAACCAGCGCTTCTCGCTCTTTTTTGATTGCAAACCCTTAAATAAGAAGCTATGGTTAGTTGGGACCCCTTGTCCCACCTCTAAACTTTCAAAGTGGATTCATTTCAATAATAGTTTCACAAAACAAAGGAAAGTACAACAAACGAATAGATAAATGTGTGGAGCAAAACTTTGTTTTTCCTTATTTCCAACCCCAAATTTATCTTGCGACCTTTTACTGTATTAAACTACCACCACCTTGACCGGCTGCTGTAGCTAAATGTTTCTTATGTACCGATACATATCTTTTTTTTTTTCTTTAGGTGGAGCAGACACTGAACACAGACTACCCGACTTCCCTCCTGTCTTCAGACCCAAAGCCACTTGACCTTCTTGAACTGGAAAAACAAGAGCACAAGGTAACATGCTAGGTACTGTGAGTGTTGATTTTTGTGGTATCGTGTGAGCAGGAAATTCTAGGATTAAAAGAGAATGTTGTTTCAGGATCAGCACCATGGACAGGTCTGTGCTGCTGCGCACAAGTCACTGAACCTTGAGACTTGACCCGTCTGAAAAAACACGAATGTGAGAGCTTCTGTATGTTTTACAATGAGATTGAGATTTTATTAAGTAATATTTGTTTTTTATCTTCAACTTTATAGGAGATGCCGGAGGAGAAGCGACATCAGCCTTCTGCCAGCTCCACCACTGACCCTGTAACACACGCTAGCACATCTCTGGTGTGTTTCTAAACTGTTGTCCCTAAAATTCTGCATAATACAATCATCCTGAAGCTGGTAGAGAAGTTTGTTCCCCCCCCCCTCAATTGCTAACACAATTCTGACAACAGGACTCAGTGTGACAAAAAAAAAAAAAAAATTTTTTTTTAGAAATGTGCAATATTGTGTCACTGTAGCAATTTGTTAATGTGTTGCGTTTGTCTTTCCCTCAGGTGAGGTCAACACTGAATACAGAGTTGCTGAAGTCCCTCCTTTCCACAGAGAGCATTCCAGTAAAAGCAAAACAAGAGGTAACAGAAAAAGTATTTTTTGGCTGTGACTTTTCTTGTGGAGCATGAGGTCAAGCTTCTTTCAGATGAATGGACCAGTTTCAATTGTTCTTTTCTGCTATAACCTTTAACATTAGCAGCATGACCTACAACTACACACAATGTATTCTTTCAACTTTGTCCATTTGACAAAGGAAAATAAGCAAATAATTTTAATTATTTAGACTCCATAGCATACAGGGCTTATTTTTAATGTGAAATCAATTAACTGACAATTTAATCCATGCATGTATTGTCACTGTGGGTAAGCTTGGTGTCTGACCCGTTTTGTAGTTCCCACATCACTTTTTTTTTACATCTGGTATAAAAGATATTAAGAGCCATCTTAATTCAATATGTAGTGCCCATGTTCAGGTTTTGTAGGGCAGTATACCACAAGACATGCAGTTTTCATCATTGCTGTAAACATGAGTGTGTCTGTATGTTTGCATTCATTTTCACTCTTGGCTGACAGGAGCTGGAGGTGATCCTCCAAGAGCAATTACATCCACCTTCTGCTGACTACAACTGCAAAGCTGTAATGGAAGCAACATCCCTGGTGACTTCATGTGTCAAACAAAGAGCTCAGTCATCCATTTTAAATCCTGCAGGGACTTGGTCTGACCCAAATTTAAACCATAATGGACCGAGTGCAGCTCAGAGTACAGGGAATATGGGGCCAACAGAAGGCGGGCCCAGCTGCTCCCCACTCCTGCCTTCACACTATCTAGAAGAAACGCTACAAAATGATGCCTCGCCAGGACACTACAACCCTGCCAATGCCTGGTCTAACCTTTGTGACTATGGCTCTCTACTCTCCTCCCCAGACACTAGGCTTACTTCTGATTTGGAAGCCAATGATTATGATGTATTTGCAGCCATATTTACAGCAAGTGACAGTCCAGACTTGTCAGAAGATGCATCAGTGTACTTCTCAAACTCTGCAGAAATACAGTCAACTCAGTCATTCCAGAATATCAAGAGAGAAACTCAACCTGGGGATCCTCCTGCCTCCGAGTCCCCCTCAACATCTGGTGTTTCAGGGCCAGATGAGGATGGTGAGCTTTTGATTGATAACCTCTCACATGCAGCTAGCTCTCCAGCTCAAAGTGGCTGGGCTTGTAAAAGACTTCTTCACACACCGCCTTCAACATCAGCCCAGATAACAGAGACCGAGGAACAATCTAGCTCCAAAACCTCATACCTCGAGGATATGTCACATCCACTCGAAGAGGACCACAAATTCAAAAATCCTGCGACCGCTAATTCATCTTTTGTGGCACATTCCCAGACAGAATCCTGTGATCCCCATTCATCAGGCCCAGTGCCTGACAAACGGGTATTGGAGTCTTCAGGAGGACTGCAAGTTGCTAATGAGCTGGCATACCCCGTCATCGCCTCCGAATGCCGAAGAGAAGGGCGGGGTGACACGGCGAGAAAAAGTGAGAAAAATCTGGACGATGTAATAACAGCAAGTCAAAGGTCAACAGCTATGAAAGCAAGAGAAGAAGGGATTATAGAAAATGAGTCAAAACTCAAGGAAGGAAGAAACACCGTGAAACTCAGGTGCAGTCAAAGGCTGCTTGAAAAAGGCAAAGCTACACAGAGTGGTAAACTCCTAGTAGGAAGAGTAGAGGAGAGGAAACAGAGTGAAAAGAGAGTTAACACAGCAACATTTTATGAACAGAAAAGACGGTCCTTAGGAGAAAGGCAACTGCGTAAAAGAGGAGCAAGTCATTTTCAAGAGTGGAGCCAAGGAGTAAAAATAAATACAGTGAAGCAATTTTCAGAGATGGGAAAGAAGGAACAAAAGCACAGAGGGCAGAAGCAACAACTCAAGACAGGGCCAGAAAAACAGCACAAGGCCAGTAATTCCAAATTCTGCACCAAACTGGATGCAGAAGATGCTCTTTTGATCAAAATGCCACAAAAGATGAGAAAGACAGCTGAGCAAAGACTAGGAAGCAAAAAGAGGTGGCACAAGGTGCCTGAGGTACCACATCACTCATCCAGGCCCAAACCAAGCCCAGACCAGACAGCACATGTCAGAGGTGAAGATAAAAGGACAAACAGAGAAGAGGCAGAGAGCACGAGCTATACACCTAGTCCAGTGAAGAGATGTCGGCAGGAGCACGAAGCTTCTGAAGAGACTGAAACAGCGGAGTCAGTGAGAGACAAGGTGGGGATGGAAACAAACACTCAGGTTAAGTCCAGTCAAAAGAGCAGAGTGGAAGTCACGAGCGAGAGCAGAAAAAGGAAAAGCATCACAGTAAAAACAAGATGTAATCAAACTTGAGACAACCAAGTGAAGCAAGCTACACGATTAAGTGTCTGTAGATTAGTTGAGGAAAAAAACCCCAAGAGCAATATCCAACTTAAAATAATTCAGTTTAATAGTTAAATACAACATACACACAAAAGTGGAAAAATAACTTACAAAATAAAGTCTGATGTACAGAGTGTTTGGTTCTTTTCTGCACAATTGTCCCTTTAAAAACACTTTATAAACAATTCTATAAATAAGACATTTCTTTAAAAGTATCAACTTATGAAGTTTTGTGGGTAAATAAGGCACTGCAGTAAACATGCACACACATTCAAAGACCTGCCTCATAAACACACAGTAGCATCTGAGAAGTCCTAAAAGAATCATTCTTTGGCTTTTCCAAGGTAGGCATGACTAACAGGTTTAAAAATATCCACATGCATACTAACAAGACAAAACAAAACAAAACATCCTTTGGTGATTTTAGTGATTTTGCTGGTTCAGTCTGTCCCATCACTTAAGGATGTACACACCAAATGTCACTGTGCATCCTGTAGAATCCAACTCCCATTTCATCTTTAGAAAAAACTCAGTCATACTTGTCGTAGTGGAGGGATCCACTGTGCATGTTTCTGTTGTTGTTCATGGCCTTGCCATTGGACAGTGAGGTAAATGAAAGCAGAGAGCCCGCCTCCTCAGGGTGCAAGTATTCATCAACTATTCTCCGATAGGTGGGGTGGGTCGTCAGTACTCGCAGCAGGTTTTCTGTGGAAACAAGGCAGCTGTAATAAGGATTTTAAATATTACCTGATAGACGAGGAGCAAAAAGAGTGAAATAAAGCAGGAAAAAAAAGTTTGCAATTCTGGTATCCAATTATTTTCACAGGCTTTGAAAAGTACAACTTGTGAACTGTTCTGTTAATGACAGTGCCATGGAGGTGTGTTACTGAACAGATGCGTATGACACTGCCTATTTCAGGCTCATAGTTTGAGAGTGGTTTATCATTTACAGTATACTAGTGGAAAAAAGTCTTCTTTAAACCAGACAGCTATAATAAAATAAATGAACAAGAGGCAGCTCATATTTCAGATGCTGCCTAGCTCTAGTCTCTCACCCTCAGTAAGCTTGCCGTGACTGGAGGCTTCAATGTAAAGCTCTGTGGTGTTATGCTGAGGAACACCCAGCAGCGCCCCCATGAGGTCTGACAGCTCCTGTTTGCTCAGCCCACCTCTGCTCTCTCTGCTAAACATCTGGAAACACATGGTGCATTCAGGAAAAAAAATAAATTAGAGAACAGCAGGTCAGAGACATGACAAACTGAGAAGAGATTTGTTAAGCCTTATTTTGAAGATGTTCATTGTTTTTGTCTGAAGAATACCTGTACAATCCTTTTGTCAATTCAAATTGGCCGGCTGGTTCTACAAGGCTAACACATTCAACTACAGTCCGGCTTAGATTCGTTTCAAAAACAACTGAATCTTATAGGTTTTCCTGCAGAACCCAAGACTGAAATATTAAGCTGTAAGGAAATAGGAATATTTGGACAACATTGAGACGAAACAACAACAAAAAACAGTACTTACACTGAAAGCAATCTGAAGGACAGACTTGAAGCTGACAAGTCCTGACACGGCGGCAATACTCAAATAAATCTGTCTGAGGTCCACTGTGTCATCCTGAGATTTAAAAAAAAAAAAAATAATAATTTCTTAAAATTTTTTTCTGAGTGACTGGTCAATTAATTGACAGGACCTGTACCCTTCGTGTAAAATGTTAAACGGTCTTGTATCACTATGATGTCAGTTAGTGAACGACACCCTCATAGCCTTTGTATCAATATAAAGAACTTCATATGCATTTAGTGATTTGTTGCACCTGTTAGTTGCCCCCAGGAGTATACACACAACAAAAAAGTATTTGTACCTTGGAGTAGAAGCCACAGATGGTGACAGCTGTTGCTCTGTCAGTCAGTCCAAGAACAGAGGCGAGGACCTCTACACTGGCCTTTGACCCTTGAGCTCCTGACTGACGCCTGTCAATCATTTGGCTCAGTGCCGCTTCCACTTCAGATGCTCCCAGACTGAGACAAAGAAGAAATTAAAGAAACTGAAGAAGAAAGGGAGGACAAAACAGGCATATTCAGGATTGAGGTTGACAGCAAACTTTGAGGTCCTCTCACCCATGTTTGTCCAGCAGCGAGAGCGTTTCCCTTGGAGGTGACTCCAGTGGGAGAGAGAGGCCGCCCAGCTTAATGACAGGAACTCCACCCTCCAGTACATAGTCTGTGGCTGGAACTCCGAGTGCCCTGAAACAGAACAGTGTATTGGTAGAGTTCATTCATACACAGACACAGACACAGACACGACTGAATTTGAAGGCTCTGCTGTATGTTGGCAGCTGAAAGAAATTATTTCTGGACTGATTCGGAATGACCAAAATGCAAACTCAAATCACAAGCTTTCCTTGTGAGCAGTTTGATGTTGGTTCCTTGCTAATTTATCATTGTTTACTGTTGTCATTTGTCACTTAACTAATCTTTAGTGCAGACACACTGACAGTAGAGCAACAATTTATAACTAGACAGAACATTAATAAGCTGTCATCTTAAACTGAATAACTCAAAATTTAAGAAAAAGCCAAAATTCACAGGGTCCAGTTCCTCAGATGTGAATGTAGGATTTTACTGATTTGACCCGACAATCACGTGTCATCTGGCTGAAATAAAACCAGTGTACAATCTTTTGCTTACTTGGCCATGAGTTTCTGAACATTGTCTGCATACAGGTCAGGGTAATTCCTCTCCTCCTGGGAAGGGTTGTAAACTGGCAGGAACTGTAGCACAATAAGAAGGCAGCTGTTGTATTCTTACCATAACAGAGAAAAAGTCTGCCATTCAATAAGGTTTTCACATCTGAGACAAAAGCAAAACACTGCACCCTGGGATTTTAATAGCCATACATTCAAAGCATGGTTCAAATAACTTCACACCAAGCTGAAGTACTAATCTTTGTTTGTTTCACTTCTGAACACATCCATCATCAGTGAGGAATGTGATCGGTCATGTCCTGGGTTGTTGTATATGCTACTACACTCACTGGTGTCAGGGCACAATGAATACACTGAGCAATGTTACCATCATCAGGGAAACTGTCTTACCTCAACAGTCACGTTGGTGTACAGCTGTGAAGTGGTGTGCCACACTGCCTCAGTCCTTATGGACAAAGAATCAATATTATATTTCATGTAGGAAAAAAATTTAAAATCCAAAAACACTTTCTGGAAAAATCTAGATAGAAATGTCAGTTTTGCCCAATTCAGTAAAGTAAATACCTCAAGGAGTCAAAGTACACATTATCAGTCACATTAATTTGTCTGCAACACTGGTGAATACAGCCCAGTACACTTAAGCAGTATTACCACCTGCTGCTAAAATACAATGACAAGTTCACGGGAGTAATTCTGGATGCTTATCTTTGATAAACATATCAATAACCAAACCAGGATGGCTTTTTAATCACCTGAAGAATATACCCATAATCAGACTTCTCTGTAGCTGATGGCACAAAATAATCCTCGCTTTTCCTTTTTTGCTGTTTGTCTATAGTTTAAATTTGCATAAATTTAATTCTTTTATCCAAGAGGCACCTTTAGCTACCACGGTATATGAACGGCGAGGTATAAACAAGGTTGACTTGACTACAAAGAGAAGTTACCACCGTATAAATGGTGGAACAAAACAGGACTGCTGGCTGACTTTTGTGAGAACACCTGATGCTAGCCAGAGGGGAGACTTTTGCTCTTAACTCATTAAAAAGTTTGGTGGATAGAAATGAAAATCCTACACTTAGGATGGATTAAAAAGGGCCAACAAAAAGGACTCTGTTGTCATTGTGTTCACACTGCGAGTACATTTGAAAGAGGACAGTTTCCTTTCTGTTTCACTTCAGCTCTGACGGCACCTCAGTCCTCTTTCTGTTCATACTAGTGACTCAAGCTCTCAGACCTTTACTGCTTTCACATATGGCTTTTAGGTCAAAGGATTCTCTACTTTATCTCTTTTTAGTGCGTGTGGTAAAGTAATTGACAGTGTTTTCTACTTTGAGGCAGTGCAGTGAAGTCCAAATGAAGACCATCACTCATATGAGCTGGAAACTGAAGGAACTGCTTAGCACATCTCTGCATTAGACAGTTGTAGTTTTCTTTGCTCCATCTTTGGAGAGGTGCAGTAGCTTCTTCCTGCAGTAACTCCCAAAGTGCTCATCCATATGGGTATCATTAGGATTTTTTACTACTACCAATCCTGCTTATTAATCAGGTACTTCTGTCTTGAATAGAAAAACAACAGCATTGTTTTAAACAAACCAGTAGACTGTAATATTTATATATTTAAAAAAACAAAAACACTTTGACGGTACTTTCACAAGGTGCCTCCAGCCCCCAAACCATTATATCTACCTCTGCTCTGAGCCCCCAGTGCAGATTCAATTTATGAACTCACAACAGTTAGCTGGCTAATGATCATGTTTATTCATTAACCCACATTTGCATAGTTTAGTTAAGTCTGTGCACAGGCTCAAGGCTGCTTAAATAAACATACCTGGGTAGGAAGAGAAACTACGAGCTAGTCAGCAGAATCTGCATTTCTCTGTGTTGGACTTCCACTAGATATTTCAACAAATTGCAAAAGACTAGAACAGAACCTGAAGCACTTTGTGTTCACAATGCACAGATCAAGTGAACCGTGTTTCAGACTTGAAACGAACCGAAACCACCTCCTTAGGGGCCTCAGGTGTGGTCTGTGTTTGTTTGGTGCATCCACATTTATGCACAAAAAATGCTGACCACTCACTCAGTTCGTTTTGAGGGCTGAAAGGGACCAAGTGTGAAAACACCCATACATGTTAGTCTTGACACACCTTCAGCAACAGAAACTATTGTGCAACAGCTGTCTTTACTCTTGTTGAAAAACACTTCTCAGAATGACTAATCAACTAGCTCCAAGTCCTGGAAGCTCTTCTAATCATTTCCCAAACCTACTCAACTCCCTGTCCATGTAGAAATCCAGTGTGTTTACGGTGGCATCTCTGTAGCCCAATGTCAGTGATTACCCAAACTGTTTCATAATAAACTGGATAGACAGGGTGGAGATGAAAAATGGAGGAACTCACCAGGTCGTTCCTTTGTATGTCCAGCGAACAGTATCCTGAGGAAAAATCAAACGGTGTAACTGGGAAAAAAAAAAAAAAAAAAAAAATCCTTAGCAACAGTCATTTAAAAATTTTTTTAAAAACGTGTGATTCTAGGGTCACTCCCTTCAGTCCACACCCTGACAGGAACCACTATGCAAAAACTAGCCTGGAGAAATATGACAATGTTGAGATACAATGCAACTACAGACTGATAATATGTAGGAGAGTGAACACTAAGTGAAGTGACAAAGACATGATAGACAGCCAAGTATGAGCTGTCAACAACTAGTCACACAACACTGCACCTGTTCCTGCCCTGTTACTATTTATTTTAAAACTATCCTTTAACTCTTTTTCAGTTAAAAAAAAAAGTACTCTTACTTAAACCCCAACAGCCCTTGTGTTGGCACACAGTTGTTTCTAAATCCACAAAATTCTTAAAGAAATGAGTATTGTGCAGTTGAAGCTGAAGCTGAATTTCCTTAACACACTAACGCCATTTAAAAAAAAATAATGTTCCATTTATTTTATCTGCTTTTCTATTCCATAGTTAAACTTTCACAGATCTTGCAGGGCCATAGGACACTCGGGTAGAGCCTTTACTGGCTTGATGTATATTAATAGGCAACTGTCAAAAAAAAGATTTTGATGTTAAATAAAAACCTTTTGTTCACAGCCACAAATCACCTTTAAAAACATCCAGCCAGGGTTCAGTTAAACTCTAAATTATTGAGACCCTGAAACCAGTCCCTGTATCAATGGAAAGTTTTCCCCTCTAATGAAGTTACCATGTTTCTCAATTATCAGACTTCACTCACCAGCTTGTTGGGGTAATGCAACAGAACAGGTTGGACTGGGACTCCAGCAAGAAAAGCACCTGATGACAGCAACACAAGGGGAAAGGACAAAAGGGGAGAGAGCAGACAGATTGGAATGAGAAAATAGTTTTACTGCAAAAGAGAGCAGTTCATCATCCAGGTAGAACAGTCAGCTGCTACACCCATTTTCTGAAATGCCACCTACTGCTGCTACAAACTAGTGTGTTCTGTCAGACATCCAAGAAAAACCAGATGGGATCGGTTTCCCCTTGTGATGTTTACGGTCATACAGACTTGTCAGCACAGGGAAGGTGGAGAAAAACACCTAGCAGCTAAGAGGCTATAAAACCTCAGTTCTTTACATGTGTATACGTTACTCACCAGGCTTGAATTTGATCAAAGCACCGCCATTGGTTGTAGTTCCCTCAGGAAACATCAGCATCTAGCCAAGAATTAAGAACTGTGACTTGACAAAATCAGAGTTGGAAATCAAACACAACCTTGACCCGACGACGCATCTTTAGGCCAACCTGGCTTATGTGTTTACACACGTATAATATCAAGAATGAGAAATGTATTCGAGGGTGCAAAGTGTGTTGTTCCCCTCTTCTGCCCGCCTGCTGCTTCAGGAATAAGTGGTATGGATAATGGCTGGATGGATGCAATTCATTTCATAATTTTCCATGTTAACTTTCTATGGAGGTTTATGCCACTATTGTTGCTTTGACTGCTGGCATCACTAATTGTTGCAAAGTTCAGAAACTTGCCAGTTCTGTAAACAAGGCTACAGCAGACAATTTATGTGCCTGTGAAGTGCAGCAGTTTGTTTTGGCAACAGAAGCACAGAGCGCCAAGCAACTCATCATACAATCTCTCACCTGAGGCCAGTAGCCGTTGGAGGTCAGCCTCTCTGTGAGCTGGGCAACGGCCTTTTTCCTCGAATCTGGATCCTTCCTGCTCACCAGCACAGACTGGTTGAACTCGAGCAAAGCTGAAACAACAAGACAATCACATAAAAACTAAATCTGAGCAAGAACCAAGGGAGAAGTCCAGAACAAGATCACCAAGAAAGCAACAAGTAGTGCCAAAGCAGGCAGAGCTGATTAGATGGCAAAGGACTGAGTCACTTGTTTATCTTTGGATGTTGTTAGATACTTTGATTCTACTGTTGCTTGGTATGTGGCCAACACAAGGAAAGATTTCCCTATCTATGAACACACTGAAATACAACGTGCCAGTTAAGCAGGAGTTGTGGGGGAAGTATCCACCAGAGATGAAAAACAAATTGGCTAAGACCTCGTCATCCAGCCACTCCACAACTACAAACATTACTGACTTGAACAAGTGACTAACTGCTCCTTGACTTGTGCTGGCAGAACTAAGGTTTTGGTACTGTGAATACACTTGTTCCCTGCAGACTTCTGCAGCACTTTCAGCTGTACTCTTTATCATTCTCAGTTTATTCTTCTTTCAATACATTTAGTTAATGAAATGAGGAATATTGTCCTTCACAAGTTTCCCAGAGCCCAAGCTGATGCCTTTGCATTGTGCTTTCCGTCCAGCCAGCACCCAAAAATACTCAGTTTTGCGATGCCCTGACAGCTGATGACATACGCCATGCAAACTTTATGCACATTGTGTGCATAAAGTTTGAGTCGGATGTGGGCATTTGTCGCAGGTCTACCCCAATCCCTCCCCCTCTCACCCAACTTCCTGTCTGCCTCTCTGCCACCAACCTGAGGTAAGTAGCTGCAAAATGTCAAAGGAAAAAAAAAAATTCAGCTTGCACTGATACAAAACAGAAAAAGCAGCTAATGTTCATATTTGACAGGCTAGAACAAGTGAAAATTTTGCATTTCTGCTTGATAAATGACAACCTATAAAAACTGTTCTGGATTATATTTGCTGATCAACAGTGTATCAGCACTACTTTGACATCTACCTGCAGTTTGAGAAGATGCAACATTCCTCACCTCCTATGATCGGCAGGCGGGTGTTCTCCGACCGTGACACCACTGTTGCCAGCTGGGTTGGACACAGTACCAGCAGGTCCAGAAAACTGCTGTGGGGTGCAACCACCAGTACTGGTGCTTCCTTCAGGTCTGCCCTGCGACCTTTGACCTTCACCCACAGGAACCCCATTGAGAAGAAGACTGCACGACTGAGCAGCAGGACAATTGGGTGGAAAAGCCAGCGTCGCCAACCCGTGACAGGCCGAGAGCGTTCGTCCTCAGACAGGCCGGCCAGTCGTAGCCGGGCAAAAGGCCACATTATGAGGAAGCAAAGGGCAGCCAGGGAGACGCGCAGAGGGCAAAGGATGGTACCCAGAATGATGCCCTGAGGACCCCCCCAAAAAAAGTACATTAAAAGATCATGTAAGACCGCAGAACGTACAATCTGGCTGATAATAAAAACATCATAGTGCTCTGACTCCAAATAGGTTTGTATGGCTTTAATAGCTTGGACATCTTAAGTGTAGGACTGGGCTATAATTTACCATTATCAAATAACATTTTGCAGTTATTGAAACGAACATTTATGAGAAAATCTTGTGGGGAAAAACTAAGCCTGCAAAACAAACAGTAAACCCGATTATTTTCCTGATTAAATCAATTAATAGTTTTGTCTATAAAATGTCAAAAACTTGTGAAAGGTGGCCAACTGGAAGCTATAATTTCTCAAAACACCAGCATTATGTAGTCAGAATGCTTTTTGTCTGACTAAAAGTCCAAAATCCATATGGATGTTACAAAGAAAAGCATCAAGTCATCACATTCGAGAAGCTGTTGCCTTCAAATGTCACATTTGTGATTAAAAAAAGTAAACATTTAACTGATTAGCAAAATAGCTGACAAATTTTTGGCCATTAGCTAATCAAGTTATAACTGCAGGTCCATTAAAAACCAACAAAATGAGTCAAGACTTTGCGCTGCATTTGTAATATTTGGTTACTACACTGAACATCAGTTTGGTTGGGGCAGTATGTCATTTGACATACAGTACTCTTGATACCTCTTGGAGTGCCAGCAAGGCCATAAAAAAAGAAAAAACCTCTTACAGTAATAAAACATTTTTCCTCATGCAGCCACACCCTACGGAAATGTATGTTGCAACTGTGTGCTATGTTGTTATCTGCACCACCTGACTAAGCCCCATAAATTTAAGGTGCCGGTTTTGCTTAAACACCACAGTCAAAGGCCTGTTCTCCACATGTCCCTGCAGCATTAAAAACCCATATGAACAAACTAAAAAACAGAAATAAGGCATGAAAAAAAGTATTTTAGACATTAAAAACAGGCAGAAACTTCAGACTTTTGTCTGAGGCTGCAGCTATTTATGTTTATCACCAATTCATTTGCTGATTATTTAACTGATCGATCAATTTATCGTTTGGTCTGTATAACAAAACTTAAAAATGCCCTTTACAAATTATATTTAAACTAAAGTATATTTTTACATTTGAAAACGCTGAGAATGGCTGAATGCTGTAGCATTTAATAAAAATGTAAACTGCAGAATAACTTTGTTGGTGGGCTAACAAGAATTAAAGAAGGACCGAAACTTTATATCCTATACATTTGAGTATTAGAGCTGCACCGATAAATCGATTAGTCAATCCACAGAAAATTATTTAACTGTGCTGATAACTGAACATTCTTCCAGGAAGAAGATGCCAAATGTTTTCTGGATCCAGCTTCTCAAATGTCTGGATTTCATGCATTTCTTTGTGGCATGTGAGAGAAAACAAAACGCATTAATTTGGCATCGTTGTGAAGTCACGCACAATATGAGGAAAGAGTAGCTACAGAGGCAAAGTAAACTCTTCATGGAGTTGGTGTTTTAAAGAACAGAAGCCAGTTTTGAGGACAACTCTCGGCTGCCAATGTATGGTGTGATTCGTTTCAGGTGGCAGGTGGGGGAGCGGGGGGGTCCACAGGAAACCCTTCTAGAGCACACAACGTGAATAAAAATGCAACCTTTGTGACATCTGCACTATTAAATGGAGACATTAAGCCATGATAAATGTTGAGACTTTAATTTGAACGTTACCCTGATCCTCTGCGCACGGGACAGCTTCACCTCGTGGACAAACGGGTGTGGATACTCGTGTGTGGCGGAGTGACAGTCAAACCTCTCCATGGTGACGATTCAGTGACAGAGCAGTTAACTGGACAAATACTTTAAAAGACAAAAATACTAAATAAAAAACGACGGATTCCACCTTGTTGTATGAAAGAGGAAAACGTTTTTAGAACTGTGGTAGAAGTGAGCTGTTGTTGTGCGATGACGGCTGCAGAGTGAGAAAAAAAACATTAAAATGTCTCGCGCAGTCAGATTTAAAAATAGAACGTTAGCTAAACCAACCGGAACCTCGTGAAAACGACCGAAGAGTGTGACAACTACGAAATAAACAACAAACAACAAGCTCAAAACAATCTTAAAAAGTTTCCTCCTTCCACATGGCGAAACATGCTACAGAGAAGATCCCATCCTTCTTACTTGTAGCCTCTCCTCACCTGGCCCGCCCCTCAACAGCCGACGACACCGGGCGGGTCAGCAAGTCAAACCGGAAATGTTAACTCTCTAGTCGCGACGCTAAAGCACGAATATATTCATGCTCAAGGCAGAAACAGAAAACACCTGTAACTGTAACGTTCATTCAGAATTTGGAGATGATAGGCAACGATAGAAGACGCTTCAACATTTTTAAAACAACAAAATGAAACATTTTCATATACACAATTTTCTGTTTTCTTAGTCTTTCATCAGCTGACAAACTTTTTACAATCGATTAATAATAGAATTTATGTTTGCCTTTCTAAACACTTGCCTGCTCGCACACGGGAAGTATTACATATTTTGTTCCTGGTAACAGCAACCATTCTGACAGAGAGCTTTTTATGAGCATCACTCTTTGCATCTGCATACTGACTTACCTCAAGTTAGTATTTAAAAGAATATAGGAATAATACAAATGATGCAGAGACAGCCATCATAGTTAAAACGATTGTGTGTCTATATGACAACAGGTGGTGTCTGGAAGGTGCAGAAAACGCCCACAACAATGAGAACTCATCAGAAATGCTGACATAGAAACAACAGACGATGTTACAATACTGTTGCCATGAGTTCAAGTGCCAAGAATGTATACAATCCTTTGTTTGGCAGGTTGACCGATTGAAACTTGTGTTAAATGCCAACCTTCTACATTCATTGACAAACTGTGTAAACTTTAAGCTACCCACCTCTCAAGTTTAACTTGTACCCTACTTGTCTGTTATTGCTCAATGTGCAGGGTGGTGCAGTTGATACCATCAGGCCTACTACATTCCCTCTGTGAAACAAACACACCCACCCCGACAAGCACGTCCACTGAAAAGCACAGAGAATGAAGGAAATGATGTGGTTACAGAGGGATGAGGGAGGTCATTTCACATTTTTTTCCAATTAACATAACCTTAATTTACCACCCATAGGTTGTCAAGTTGTCAGCCTAAGTTGCCACACTTTTAGATAACAACAACAAAATGAACTGTGTTTTGGCTGCAGAGGCATAATTGTGCTGTTGTTGGACTTGTGTGTACAAGTCATCCAGTACTTAAAAAAAATCTTAGCTCATTATTTTATAGAAATGTTACTAATTTTCTCCTTAGTTATCCCAGTTCTATGGTCAAATTGGATACAATTTGTAGTGTATTTGTTAAATGCCGTATATACTCTTAGCAAATGCTAATCTATCTGGCGTCCACAGATCCAAACCAAGTCACATTTTACTTATAAAGCCAACAGCTGATGGAATAAAAGACCCCATGTATCTATTTGTGTCACCTCTTGGAAGCTAAAACCTCATTCCTGATGGAAGCAAGTAAAATAATTACCCTCAATAATAAACAGATACTACTGTATGAACAGTATAGGAAAAATTTATATCACATTATAGTCGGGTCATACTGCACAACCCCATCTCAGACATTTAATCACAGTTACCTCTAGATATCAAACAGCATCACTCTTTATCAACAGAGCAGAGGGCTGTCAGATTTTTTCTGTGAAACACACTGCAACAAATGAGGGTTTCATGAAAGAGGGTTCAGTTTCCCTAAAACCTGTTTGTTTTCCATTCCTCCTCACCCAGTATTGACTATGGTTATTAACAAAACAAGCCCAACATGTGACTGGCTGCCAGTACTACTGGCCTTGGGTTCCCTCGACAGACATTTCAGTAAAAAAACAAGCTGAAAAACATCAGACAAAACATACTGAAATCATCATGAGTCAGAGAACAAACAAATCTTACTTTGTCATGTACAGTCTTTTACAACCACATCATGTTTGTGTTACTTCATTAAATGGTAAATGGTCTTATACTTGTATAGCGCCTTTCTACGCTTTTACAGCACACTCAAAGCGCTTTCAGTGTTTAGTTTATAAACACTAAACTAAATTAATTAGACATTTTTTAGTTTCACTAGACATCCATCCATCCATCCATTTTCTTCCGCTTATCCGGGACCGGGTCGCGGGGCCAGGAGTCTAAGCAAAGATGCCCAGACTTCCCTCTCTCCAGACACTTCCTCCAGCTCCTCCGGGGAAATGCCGAGGCGTTCCCAGGCCAGCTGCGGGA